CATTTTTATTATCATATTGAAAGTCTCACCCAAACATATTTACTAGTAAAGAAAACAAGCTTTATAAATCGAGTGCTAGACTCATTCACTAGAGATATATAGTATGTACAAAATCGACCATCATAATGAGCCACATTGACTAAAAGCAAATCCGTGACATTTCCTATCATATTTACAATGGTTTAAAACCAAATTGGGTAAAGTTATTTGGTTTTTTGATAAAAATGGTGATGTGAATAAGAATAATGGGTAGAGAAGTCATTGTCGAGGCTAGGAATATGTCACATTTATTCGTAGTAGTAGAGTTTGATTTTTAAGGCACACATTGGATTCGTGGATGAGGTATCCACATCATCACTTATCCTTATTCTCTATCTTTCATTAGTAAAACACACACCAATTAATACGTTTCCATCTTAATTTTGTCAGCTTTTCCGCTGCCCGATGTTGATTGTTGTTATCCAAATTAATTAAGGGTGTACTCATTATTCTGATACTTTTTAAAATAATATTTAAAAAAAATTGGATGGTTATTAGTGATGTAGGATTTGAAAATTAACAAAATATTCACTTAGGTTTGTTTATTTACTAAACACCCCTATAATAAAATATTAAAAATTAACAAAAGCACCTCTACTCACCAATTAATACCGACGGCCGCCACCACCATCGGAGGGTGATTGGAGTCGTCGTATCGATGCACGACCGATTGGATCTAGCCATTCGTGTGCTGATATAGCCTTTTTTGGCCAGATCTATGGTGGATCTAGCCAAAAAGGCCAAATTACGCTAGATCTACCCCTTAACGGCCAGATCTAGTTGTAGTGTGGTCAACGACGGCCATATCTTGGCCATCATTGACGACTAGCTACACCAAGGATCTGATCTTTTTCGGCCAGATCCATTGTGAATCTAGCTGAAAAATGCTAGATCGACGCACTACCACCAGATCCACCATAGTGTTTCATATACTAGATTCTGACCAACTTCTGACGGCAGTACCAAAATCTAATAAATGTGGGTTACTGCGGTATTTCGTTAATTTCTAAAAAAAAAAAAAATTGGTGGGTGTTTAGTTAAATTAACAAGCCTAGGAGGTTTAAAAAATTGAATAAAATAGAATAATATTTTGAGAATAAGGAAATAAATGTGTATTTTGGATAGAATAGGCATAGATAGAGAAAATTGTGTACCAAAGGGTCCCTAAGTCTTTTATTCACCAACCCAATAGAAAATCTGAAATTCACCTCACTTTATATTTCTCACACTCTACTTCAAAATATCATAGAGTGATTCGATGGAGATTCTTGGGCATATCACTCAGGGATCTTGAGTTTAACTATCTCCTTAATTACTTATAAGGATAGTCACTAGAGTTCTTATCGGTCAGTAATTTCAAGGTTCCGGGAGATTAGTTGAGATACGCATAAACTAGTCGACTCAAAAAAAAAAAAAAAAAAACAAATTCGAGAGAAGTGCTTTAATTATATTTATGTTATATAACGCGTCGTAGTTGAGGTATAGTGATGCGATAATCACCTAATTCTTGTATTGAATTTCACTTGATGATAACCCTAAAATAACTTGTTTAGCTTGAGCTTGATTGTTTAAAACTCTGGAGAGATATTTTTGACCATATACCGAAATACGTTATACTTTCCATTACAGAGATTCAAAGCTTCAAGAAAAAGATAGGATCACGGGGACCGCAACATAGAGCTTATTCTCATCCTCACCACTAAAAGGCCCCACGAGAAATCCCTTCGATAGAGCTTCCACCAATCAAAACTCAAACCTCTGGATCATCTTCAGACACTCAGCCAATTGCTTCCCAGATAAGGCCATTTCATGGTTCCTTTCTTTGCAGAAACCCCAAAGTGCATCCTAGGGCCACACTCGAGCTGAAAAAAGCGATGCTTGTGGTCACCATCCCTTTTTTCCTATACAAATTTTTGTAATAAAGTGAAATTTAGAACAAAATTTAGTAACCCTTTTGGTTTTCAATCCAATTTCTGAGTCTGAGTCGATGATTACTAGTAAAAATGTTGCCAATGCCGTTGGTGGGAAAAGCGCTCGAGCTTGTGACAGTTGTATAAGAAACGAGCTCGATGGTACTGTACTGTGATGATGCGTTTCTTTGCCAAGCTTGTGGATTCTTCGGTTCACTCGGCTAATCCCCTTGCACGTAGACTGAAAGAGTTCGATTGAAAACTGCGTCGTTTAGTCTTCAAGTGGGTGGTGGTGGTGGTGGTGGTGGAGGAGGAGAAGGAGGAGCTGCTGTTTCGGAGAATTCGAGTGCCTTCATGGCACCGAGGGTTCACCAGGAAGGCCAGAACCGCTCGACATGGGAAGCCCTCAAACCTGATCATCATCATCAACTAATACGAAATCCTCTTCCTTTTGTCCCGAAGTTGTGGCGATGAGATATATCTCAAGAGATCAATGAAGAAGACCAGCTTCTTATCGGTTCCGATTTTCGATCCCTTTGCAGCCGAGCTATGTACGTCTGCCAACTCAAACAATGAAACGGAAAAGAGAGCGAGATGGAGATCAGTGAAATGGAAGTGAATCGAAGTGACTGCAGGAGTATAGGAAATTCAAACACGGGAGATGTGGATAGTTTACATGGATTTCTTCCATCTGACATGGAGCTTGCTGAGTTTGCAGCTGATAGAGAATTTCGCGGAAAGGGTTTTGAGAATGTTCGTTCGCCATGGAAGAGTTGGGGTTGAAGGTTACAAAGAGAAAGATTTGAGGATGTTGCTTGGGGAATAGTGGGAAAGTGAAGGTGAAATGAAGATGAAGAGGGTGTTAATACTAAGGGTGTAAAGTGAGAGGAAATCGACATGGAAAAAAGACCTTTGAGTTGATTTCGATTATGATGATGATTCTCCGACTGCAACATGTACCGGAGAGGAAGATGAGAAGATTTTTAAAGAAGATTTGCATGGAGAACAAGTGGAACGAATTTTGAAGAAGAAGAAGAGTGTTCAAAGATGAAGAAGAGAGAAAAATATTGTTGAGCTTGATTATGAAGCCGTGATAAACTGTCTTGGGCAAGCCAAGGCTCTCCTGGACCACGCGGCAGCCGCCGAATTGACCTTGATGATGTTGGCTGACTGCATGGTAGCTTATTTTTATTTTTGTAATTTCATTTTTGTGCATGCAAACATTGTATCGTAGTGGATGTTTCTACCTGGAACATTCCTGTCGCGTCGAAAGATGTCATCGGAAAACGCAATATTACTGTGATTAATGTTTATGCTTCACGCATCTCTAGAATTCAGCTATGGAAATCAATTATAGAAACCCTACCGATATGGGAATCGATTCTTCTACTCTCTACTATTGATTCTGCTTATTGGCTAGTAATCGTGATATAATTTTGTGAATATGTTTGTGCAGCTGATTGTGGGACTGACCTCCACCACACTTATGTGGGCATTGGGACACATCCGGCCATGGTAGACGGAGGAAGAGAGGCAAGAGTGTCGAGATACGCGAGAAACGCGTCGAACACGGTTGTTTCGAAGAAAATACGGTACGAGGTTCGGAAATTGAATGCAGAGAAAGCCCTAGAATGAAGGAGGTTCGTGAAGAGGCATCCTTTGCAGGAGGAACTCAAGCTTTCCTTTGTTTAACAGTAAATTAACAACGTCTAGATGTGAACTCCCTGTTTAATTAGTTTTACTATGTTGTCTTTATAACAAATCATCGAGTAACTAGAGCTAATCATGTGTTGATAGTATCCATAAATGAATAAAACAAAAAATAAAAAAGCTTAATGTATATGCTTTCGTGCTTATTATAACTGTATTTAACATATGTTTACTTGGATTTCTTCCTAATTTCACTCTAATTTCTTTGGAGACATATTGCATTTCATCAAATTGAAGGTTGAAATGCTTGGACAGTAGCTAAAAATGGCATATTTTGTCAGTTTTCGGATTCTCACAATTTGCCAACTGATGCTAAAATGTATACTGACACTTGTGGAGCCAAACTTTTTCAAGTTATCGACATTCCACGCTGAAAAAACGAACAAAATTTCTATATAAATTAAATACTACTTATTACTTTAGAGGTCCTGACTTAGTACTAATTATTCAGTTTTAAAATTTACTTTAAGATAAAACATTCAAATACAAAGCTTTGTTACTGAATAAGTTATTAGAAATTTGAGTTTATAAATAGCATAGACATCTTATAACTAGTAATTATACGTTTGATGAATATTCAAATATGATTGAAAGACTTTCAAATCCCACCCATTTGCTCATATGCAAATCATGAGAAGCAACACTTGATCCAGTCTAGCGAAATTTACTGTAAATATTATCTGGCTTATTTCTTTGATTTCACAAAGTCATCAGTCAAACAATTAACTGCTAGTAGTCGACTTTTATGGCAAGATTAATGCACTGTTCGCAACAAAGGCTGTTTGAATTGAAGAAGACATTTACAGCGTAATTTGGATAGTGAGAGAGTGAGAGTGAGAGTGAGAATTTCCCCTGGAATAAGAATTCTACAAAAAGAAAACAAAATTGTAGACACAGACCTTATTGTATAAAGAACAAGTTATTGTATAAAGAACATTAAAGAAGAGAATTTATTAACCAAAAAAAATTAAACCAGGAGAAGTTTTATTTAAACTATCACAAACTTTATCGTACAAAGAACATTAAGAAGAGAATTTAACATGTTAAGACAATAAAAGAAACAAAATATTGCTTAAACATATTTCAATTTTCAGAAAATTAGTTGACTACTGAACAGAAAATTTAAGGACTCAGAAACAGGTCCCAGGATCATATACTCATATTTGAAGTTCTAAATTCTCATATTAATCTTCACATCTAGATAAAACATCTCAAGGCTCATTTGACCATGCTAGTCAAGTATGGTAAAAAAGGACATTTGATTCAAAATTACAACAGCCTACTTATTCATTATATGTTTTAACAATGAAAATAATCAAACCAGAGTAAATGTAAACATGCCTGCAAAACCAAACTGCTGTACTGATCAGTTTGCAGTGTCTTAATATCTTTCTTGGAACATTTTAATATCCCTGATATAAGTAGCTTCAATAAATCTGAAAATAACAGGTGCGGATGTGGTAAATCATTTCCAGATAATCGAAAGGCATTCAAATTTAACCGCTCTGCAAGAACAGCTGACGGCTTTGCCCGATGAAATTCTGAGGAATCTAATGGTACTCCTTTACAAAGACAAAAAAGACTCTGAAAGACATGAGATCCATAGCAATTACACATCAAATCAACAGGATTGCTAACAATCACCTGGCAAGATGGAAAGAAGAAATAAACAAAAATGGTAAGCAGAAATCTATTCCTAAAGACTGCAGCAAAACTAAAATTCATCACCTTATCTTGACATGAAAAACATCAGATACCTTGCATATCATAGTTAGAGTCTCTTCGACAACAGAATAGTTCTGTTCATCTTGAAGATGCACAGCTAAAGACTTGAGAGCTGTCTCAGCTACATGAGATCCAGATCTATCCATAGCAATAGCAGGAAAGAACTTTGCACAGCCTCGGAGGAAACCACAAAGGTGGTCCACATCACAGCCTTCAAGGAGTGTCTGCAAAGTGTGACTTATGATGTAATCAGTTGCAAGTTCAAACTCTTTCCCTCTAGTTTCCTCAAGGGCATTACGACATAAAACTGATCGCTCCTCCAAATCAGCCTCATTACTTTCAAAAAGATTTGCAATCTCTGAAAAGTATTTTGCTAAATCAGGGTCAACCTGTTTCCTACAAAGATAATTCAATTTGCATACGTGATTACACCGGCCACCATCCAAATTGATCATTAACAATAGTTAAAAACACATGACACGAGTACATACTGTTCAATCTCAAAACCCAGATGATGATCAGAGCAAAAACTACCAAAATCATCATTAATTTAAGTAAACAAGTAGCAATACCTAACAACCGATGTTTGTGGCTCTGATGAACTATGATGCTTCCAAGATTTGTGGGACTTTGCTGTTCCATCATGGCCACGCCCAGATACATTTTTCTTGGAAGTATTAGCATCAAGACTGAAACTTTCTTTCTTAGCCTTACTGCTCAAGTTGTTTCTCTTCCAACCATGTTTATATGATTTATCATCCTCAACCATCAAGCTGTCCTCCACTGATTTACGGATTCTAGGTCTCTTCGAAGGTAAAGCTTTTGAACCAACAGAAACCATCCACACGCTAACACAAAAACACTTCCTTAGTAATAACCCCTACAGTATAGAAGTGTGCAAAACTGGATATCCGATCCGGTTGGGGTTTTAGCTGATCCAATCCGAATCCGATCCAGATTTTTGGATATCCGATTTTTCGAATATCCAATTTTTTGGATCAGATCAACCGAATATCCGAAATTGATCCAAATTTAAGAAAAATGCTTCTTTAAAATATCAAATTCCTCCATTCTTCAATAGCCAAGACAGAATTTATTAAAATCGGAATTAAATAATGCATGATTACAAAATTATTAAGCCACAAGTTGATGTGCACACATTAGAGATTAAAAGAAGCTAAAAAAATAGTTCTAAAAGATTACTGAATTTTATATATATTTATAAGAGGAATCAGTAGATTACATCATAGGCAAAAGAGAAAAGATAAAATCCTAAGACCATCTCAAACCCATTACACCAATTTGGTGCAAAATTACACTAAATTGGTGCAAATTTTGATACAAAATACTATTTCATCTCTAACCCATAACACCAAATATTATACCAAAAAGAATATTTCTTAAAATATTCTTTAGAATATTCTTTTTTTCTTTTATTGTAATAATCAACAATTAATCTATTTCACTCATTATTTTTGTATATATTAATTAAATATTGGGAATGATATTTTTATTAAATAATAATTATTTTGAAAATTATACTAATTTAATAAAATTAAGCATTTATTTAATCAAATAAACATTATATTTAATATAGAAAAACATGATAGAAAACATTACATCTAATATAAAATTGCTTTGACATAATATCGAGAAGATAACAAAATTTTATTCAAGTATTTGAATTCTATAACCGATCCAAGGTTACCTGAGTTTTTTCAAAACGAGCAATCAAGAATTATGCAAAAAAGAGCTCAACAACAAGATTAAGAATCTCAAAATAACTTTAGTTCTTTTCAATATTTTGATGATCTTACTGGATCCGGAACTAATCTATCGGAATACTAAATTATTATTTTAGTTTATGTTGTATTTTTTTTTTTTAATTTTAGTGTTTTTAAATTAGTGTTAATTTTTATTTTAAGTTATTATAATTTAATATTTGTATTGAATAAAGTTCTATTTTTAATTTTTTATCATTTTTTAAAAAATTAAATACAAATACAAATACTCAAATTTGGTGTGATTTTTGATGTAAAATTTAATACTTAAATTAACTTAACAAAATTAAAAATAAAAATAAAAAAAAGCGAAATTAAAAAATTTATTTTTTATTCGTGCTACAATACCACGCCATTTTTTGGCGTGGTGCTTTGGCACCAACCCACGCCAATTTGGTGCTTTTGACGCCACTTGGGCGTGGGTTGGAGATGCCCTAATACAACCTCCGAACACATTTTGCAGTGACATCAACCCAGATCCTATCGTAGCCACTAAATTCTTTTTCAGACTCTTCTAATTTCAATCTGAGGCGGCCAACTATACAACTCAACAAACAAATTTAAACTACAACATCAAAAATAACCACAAAGCATACATTACTCACAGTTTTTGTTAAAATATTTAAACTTCAAATTGAAATTAAGCTTACTTGATAGCTAATCAAACTGAAAGTTACAAAACGAACCCAGATGTTAAAACAGAATAAAAAGATAATGCAACAGGAAGAGATTATGAAACGCAGGTTCATTGAGTACTTTTATCAAACAGATGGTGGATTGACTATACTTTTATCTAAAAACAAACTAAAAAACCGTCGAATTAGCAATCCATATCAAGAAAATAACTCAAAATCGTGGAGAAGAAATGAAGAACAAATTAAGTAACCAGTAACCACAAAATTCAAATTACAAAAAGAGCAATACAAAGAGTTAAATCCAGTATTTGAAATTCATGATTACCTCTTTTTCTCTTTTAAATCCTCAGGCTAAGATTACTCTTTTAAAAAACCGGATCGGAATGGGATAATTTACAACTCAATAATCTAGAATTGTCATATGAGTTTAGTATTGGGCCTAAATTTATTAGGCTTAAAAATAACTTGGGCGCGTAGTTCTAGGGCTGGGCCTAATGGGCTGAAAAGCCCGTTGAGGTACAAACATTTGATGCCCAGTCCCCAGCCCGTTGTTTTAAAATAAACCCCGACTCAAAATTTTACAATCCCTCTACATGTAACATATCCTTCGTACACTCATCTAATAAAATTATATATTATGTATGTATTTACCTCGAAAATCATTAACTAGAATGGTGATTAGTAGAAAAGAGAAAATAATATTATTTTTAAATTTATTTTAAAACTAATAACTATAATAGTAATTTGATGGGAAAAAAACGTATATATTATGAAATTTTGTAGAAAAGACATATAAATTTAACGGGATATATTGTCTAACCAAACCATTTTTATTATCATATTGAAAGTCTCACCCAAAACATATTTACTAAGTAAAGAAAACTCAAAGCTTTATAAATCGAGTGCTAGACTCATTCACTAGAGATATATAGTATGTGACAAAATCGACCATCATAATGAGCCAGCATTGATACTAAAAGCAAATCCGTGACATTTCCTATCATATTTACAATGGTTTAAAACCAAAATTGGGTAAAGTTATTTGGTATTTTGATAAAAATGGTGATGTGAATAAGATAAATGGGTAGAGAAAAGTCATTGTCGAGGCTAGGAATATGTCGACATTTATTCGTAGTAGTAGAGTTTGATTTTTAAGGCACACATTGGATTCGTGGATGAGGTATCCACATCATCACATTATCCTTATTCTCTATCTTTCATTAGTAAAACAACACCAATTAATACGATTTCCATCTTAATTTTGTCAAGCTTTTCCGCTGCCCGATGTTGATTGTTGTTATCCAAATTAATTAAGGGTGTACTCATTATTCTGATACTTTTTAAAATAATATTTAAAAAAAAAAATTGGATGGTTATTATGATGTAGGATTTGAAAATTAACAAAAATATTCACTTAGGTTTGTTTATTTACTAAACACCCCTATAATAAAATATTAAAAATTAACAAAAGCACCTCTACTCACCAATTAAATACCGACGGCCGGCCACCACCATCGGAGGGTGATTGGAGTCGTCGTATCGATGCACGACCGATTGGATCTAGCCAGTCGTGTGCTGATATAGCCTTTTTTGGCCAGATCTATGGTGGATCTAGCCAGAAAAGGCCAAATTTACGGCTAGATCTAGCCATTAACGGCCAGATCTAGTTGTATTTGGTGGTCAACGACGGCCATATCTTGGCCATCATTGACGACTAGCTACAACCAAGGATCTGATCTTTTTCGGCCAGATCCATTGTGAATCTAGCTGAAAAATGCTAGATCGACGCACTACCAGCCAGATCCAGCCAATAGTGTGTCATTATACTAGATTCTGACCAACTTCTGACGGCAGTAGCCAAAATCTAATAAATGTGGGTTACTGCGGTATTTTCGTTAATTTCTAAAAAAAAAAAAATTGGTGGGTGTTTAGTTAAATTAACAAGCCTAGGAGGTTTAAAAGAATTGAATAAAATAGAATAATATTTTGAGAATAAGGAAATAAATGTGTATTTTGGATAGAATAGGCAATAGGATAGAGAAAAATTGTGTACCAAAGGGTCCCTAAGTCTTTTATTCACCAACCCAAAGTAGAAAATCTGAAATTCACCTCACTTTATATTTCTCACACTCTACTTCAAAATATCAATAGAGTGATTCGATGGAGACTCTTAGGCATATCACTCAAGAGGTCTTGAGTTCACGTCTCTCCTCAATTACTGATAAGGATAGCCACTAGAGTTTTTATCCGATCGATAGATTCAAGGTTCCAAGAGATTAGTTGAGATATGCGTAAACTGGTTTTGACATTCTCAAACAAAAAAAAAAAAAAAAAGGGTCGAGAGAAGTGCTTTATCAATATTGATGTATAATAACGCGTCGTAGTTGATGTATAGTGATGCGATAATCACCTAATTCTTGTATTGAATTTCACTTGATGATAAACCCTAAAATAACATTGTTTAGCTTGAGATTAGTTGTTTAAAACTCTGGAGAGATATTTTTGACCATACCGAAATACGTTATACATTCCATTACAGATAATTCAAAGCTTTAAGAAAAAGATAGGATCACGGGGACCGCAACATAGAGCTTATTCTCATCCTCACCACTAAAAGGCCCCACGAGAAATCCCTTCGATTAGAGCTTCCACCAATCAAAACTCAAACCTCTGGATCATCTTCAGACGCTCAGCCAATTGCATTCCAGATAAGGCCATTTCATGGTTCCTTTCTTTGCAGAAAACCCAAAAGTGCATCCCTAGGGCCACACTCGAGCTGAAAAAAGCGGTGCTTGTGGGTCACCATCCCTTTTTCCTATACAAATTATTGTAATAAAGAGTGAAATTTAGAACAAAATTTAGTAACCCTTTTTGGTTTTCAATCCAATTTCTGAGTCTGAGTCGATGATTACTAGTAAAAATGTTGCCAATGCCGTTGGTGGGAAAACGGCTCGAGCTTGTGACAGTTGTATAAAGAAACGAGCTCGATGGTACTGTACTGCTGATGATGCGTTTCTTTGCCAAGCTTGTGATTCTTCGGTTCACTCGGCTAATCCCCTTGCACGTAGACATGAAAGAGTTCGATTGAAAACTGCGTCGTTTAAGTCTTCAAGTGGTGGTGGTCGTGGTGGTGGTGGTGGAGGAGGAGAAGGAGGAGCTGCTGTTTCGGAGAATTCAGTGCCTTCATGGCACCGAGGGTTCACCAGGAAGGCCAGAACGCCTCGACATGGGAAGCCCTCAAAACCTGATCATCATCATCAACTAATACGAAATCCTCTTCCTTTTGTCCCAGAAGTTGGTGGCGATGAGATATCTCAAGAGATCAATGAAGAAGAACAGCTTCTTTATCGGGTTCCGATTTTCGATCCCTTTGCAGCCGAGCTATGTACGTCTGCCAACTCAAACAATGAAACGGAAAAGAAGAGCGAGATTAGAGATCATGTAAATGGAAGTGAATCAAAAGTGATTGCAGGAGGTTATGGAAATTCAAACACGGGAGATGTGGATAGTTTACATGGATTTCTTCCATCTGACATTGAGCTTGCTGAGTTTGCAGCTGATGTAGAGAATTTGCTGGGAAGGAGTTTTGAGAATGAGTCGTTCGCCATGGAAGAGTTGGGGTTGAAGGATTACAAAGAGAAAGATTTGAAGGAGTGTTGCCTGGGGAATAGTGGGAAAGTGAAGGTTGAAGATGAAGATGAAGAGGGTGTTAATACTAAGGAGTGTAAAGTTGAGAGTGAAATCGACATGGAAAAAGAACCTTTTGAGTTGAATTTCGATTATGATGATGATTCTCCGACTGCAACATGTACCGGAGAGGAAGATGAGAAGATTTTTAAAGAAGAGTTTGCCATGGAGACAAGTGGAGGAATCTTTGAAGAAGAAGAAGAAGATGGTTCAAAGATGAAGAAGAAGAGAAAAATATTGTTGAGCTTGGATTATGAAGCCGTGATAACTGCTTGGGCAAGCCAAGGCTCTCCGTGGACCACCGGCAGCCGCCCGGAATTTGACCTTGATGAATGTTGGCCTGACTGCATGGTACGTTTATTTTTTATTTTTGTAATTTCATTTTTGTGCATGCAAACATTGTATCGTAGTGGATGTTTCTACCTGGAACATTCTGTCGCGTCGAAAGATGTCATCGGAAAAACGCAATATTACTGTGATTAATGTTTATGTTTCACGCATCTCTAGAATTCAACTATGGAAATCAATTATAGAAACCCTACCGAATAGGGGAATCGATTCTTCGTACTCTTTACTATTGATTCTTGCTTATTGGCTAGTAATCGTGGATATAAATGTTGTGAATATGTTTGTGCAGGCTGATTGTGGGACTGACCTCCACCACACTTATGTGGGCATTGGGACACATCCGGCCATGGTAGACGGAGGAAGAGAGGCAAGAGTGTCGAGATACCGAGAGAAACGTCGAACACGGTTGTTTTCGAAGAAAATACGGTACGAGGTTCGGAAATTGAATGCAGAGAAGAGGCCTAGAATGAAAGGGAGGTTCGTGAAGAGGGCATCCTTTGCAGGAGGAACTCAAGCTTTTCCTTTGTTTAACAAGTAAATTAACAACGTCTAGATGTGAACTCCCTGTTTAATTAGTTTACTTATGTTGTTTTTATAGCAAGATCATAGAGTAAACTTGAGCTAATCATGTGTTGATAGTATCCAATAAATTGAATAAAAACAAAAAAATAAAAAAGCTTAGATGTATATGCTTTCGTGCTTATTATAACTGTATTTAACATATGTTTACTTGGAATTTCTTCCTTAATTTCACTCTAATTTCTTTGGAGACATATTGCATTTCATCAAAATTGAAGGGTTGAAAGCTTGAGACAGTCGCTAAAAATGGCATATTTTGTCAGCTTCGGGATTCTCACAATTAGCCTACTGTCTGCTACTGACTGACACTTATGGAGCCAAACTTTTTCAAGTTATCGACATTCCACGCTGCAAAAATGAACAAAATTTCATATCAATTAAATACTACTTATTACTTTAGAGGGTCCGCTGACTCAGTACTAATTATTCGTATTTTATAAATTTACTTTAGAGATAAAACATTCAAATACCAAAGCTTTGTTACATGAATAAGGTTATTAGAAATTTGAGTTTATAAATAGGCAATAGAACGATCTTATACTAAGTTAATTACGTTTGATATATTCAAATATGATTGAAAGACATTCAAATCCCCCATTTTTGTTGCATCATATGCAAATCATATGAGAAGCAAACACTTTGATCCAGTCTAGCGAAATTTACTGTAAATATATCTGGCTTATTTCTTGATTTCACAAAGTCATCAGTCAAACAATTAACATGCAGTAGTCGACTTTTATGGCAAGATTAATGCACTGTTCCAACAAAGGCTGTTTGAATATGAAGAAGACATTAC